GAAGAGCATGGATCGAGGAGGCTCCTTCAGGTAAGTGCAACAGTTGGATGAAACAGGGCACAGTCATGCTTTTCTTTCTGGAGGAGGGAGAAGGGCGAAGAGCATGGATTGATGAGGCTTCTTCAGGTAAGCGCAACAGTCGGATGAAACAGGGCACAGTCATGCCTTTCTTTGTGGAGTTGTGTATAGCAGATATGACGACAAACATGACCAAACAGTCCGGTGCAGTCGTGCTGGTTGTTCTTTTTTTTTTTTTTGATGAAGTTGTGCCATGCACACACGTGTGCGCGGGTGTTAATGCGAGAACGACGGCGACGGCGACGGTGAGGAGCTCGACCATGGTGAAGGAGGGAAGAGGAGTAGGGAGGACAAGGACGATGGCAACGAGGAAGGAGGATAGAGGATGGAGGCGGACTAGCCTGGACGGAGGAGGATGGAGGAGGGCGACGAGCATGGATGGAGGAGGGAGAAGGGCGAAGAGCATGGATTGAGAAAGGAGGAGGATGACAAGCATGGATGGAGCAGGAGGGAAGAGGGTGACGAGTATGGGTGGAGAAGGAGGGAGGCTCCTTCAAGTAAGCGCAACACACACACACACACACACACACACACACACACACACACACTATCCTCGCACTCTGCTTTTCCCCTACCTCACGCCCTGACAAACTTACCTCCTGTCCCTTTCCCTCCGCCCTCTCCTTATGTGCAACTAGGAAATACATACGAATGAGCATCAGTAAGAGTACAGACAAAGTATAAGTTGAAGATTTGAAGAGAAATGAACAGGAGTATGAAGACGAACTACAGACACAAAGACTAAGCATATGCTGAAGATCTGAAGTGAAATGAACAGCTGGAGATCTGAAGTGAAATGAACAGCTGGAGATCTGAAGTGAAATGAACAGCTGGAGATCTGAAGTGAAATGAACAGCTGGAGATCTGAAGAGAAATGAACAGGAGTATGAAGATCTGAAGAGAAGTGCACAGGAGCATACCTTCCCCTTTACTCTGCCTCTTATTATAACGTGCAAGTGGGCCGTTAAGGTACACGGGGATGTGGGCAGCTGCCGCTCAACCTCCATCAACGTGGGCAGCCTTGTACGTGCGAGGCAAAGTGAAAGAGGAGCTGTTGCCCCAAAGAAACCCTAGCTAGACACGGTTCAAAATGGTTCTATTATGATTCGTGCTCTGTCAAAGAGAGAATTTTTTTTTGAAGTGTTGGGCGGACTCAGTCCCGTTCTACTCATCTGGTTGGAATAGGGGTTGTTGTGGGGGAAGCTTATAACACACACACACACACACACATACACACACCCGGAAACAGTCTCGCACAGTCGGACCTTTTTCTTTTTTTGGGTGAAATCGTGTTTAGCAAACATGACAACAACAGTTGACACAGACTAGCGCGCCTGAAGAGTTGTTGGAAGTCCGACATACTTTTTTTGCGGAATTGTGTATAGCAAACATGACAACACACACAAACCCGCGCGCATGCATGTGCGAGCCATGACTCGAGGAAAAGATTCCGAGCAAAGTCATGATGCCTTTGAAGAATATCAGTTTTACATTGCATGCCCTCTCTTTTTTCCCCCTTTTTTTCTCCAAAAGAAATTTGGTTCACCTACGTATCAACAGTGTTGCAATATGGGGCAGGGGACCGAACATCCAAGCGATAGTCCGTGAGGCAGATGATTGAGGGAGGACGAGCATAAGTTGACAACTCCGACGGGGAGAGAGAGAGAGAGAGAGAGAGAGAGAGAGAGAGAGAGAGAGAGAGAGAGAGAGAGAGATTCACATGTTGTTGTCCGCACTCCCTCCCCCTCCTCCCCCGTTGTTTCCTCTCATCACTGCCAGTGTGCGATGTCATCACTGCGGTGGGTCCTTTTTTTTTCTTTTCTTCTTCTTTTTCTTTTCTTAAGAGGTCTGTATGGCCCTGACTCCATTTCTATTCTGGGGAGCATCAGTCCGGTTCCTATTCCACCGGCAAGTCAGGAAAAATAATTACATCATGGGACACCCTCGCGCTTCCTTCCGTCTGGCCGGAGGAACCCTGATCAGCCTTGATTGCTCCAACCTCGTGGAGGATTGACTGTCAGCTTGCCCTGCTTCCACTTTTCCTCGGGAATAAGCTACCACTGCTACCAAGAAAGGTCTGATAAGCTACCACTGCTACCAATTCTGTCTAAACCCTAAACCCCGCATTTGAGTAACAGTGAAATCCCTAGCATTATAACCCCTGTTTGTCTTGTTTCTGTTCAAAAGTCTCAACCCTAAACCCTAAACAAGATTAACCTTTTTACATCTGTTCCCTGAGAAACCTCAGATGTTGCCTGAATCGCATGAATCTTGGATGAATCTTGAATGGTATTCTCGCATGAAACTCCATTGGTACTTGTTTATTCAGACGATTTTGCTCCAGATTTGTCTGGTCTGAGATGTGTTGTTGGGACATTTGTTTTGCTGAACAGCGTATTGCCTGCTAGGACCAGCTTAGCCGCTTTCAGGCCCAGCGAGCGGTTGCAGGGCAATTCACGTTTTGGCCTCGACCAGCATTTTGTCTGCGGCGCTGTTCCACCCTTTTCCGTTCTAGGACATCCCTGCTGCATCAGCAGGGAGCCTGGACGTTTTGCAGGGACCCAAGGCAGGCACCATTTTGGGCAGGCTCATAGGCCAGGACCATACTTTGCTCCCAGGACCACCGATCAACACATGGATCAGATGGCCCTACCTCCTGGCTGTTAGATATTCCTCTCGGCTTCCTAGTATTTAGCTGGGTGAGTCCTCAGTGTTGACACACGGAGTTTGAGGACACTCAGGCCACACACTGCTGGAGAGAAGTGTGGTTAGTAGAGAGCTAGTGGACGATAGCGGTAGAGTAGTCAGGAGGAGACTATTTAGAGACGGATCTTCAGGAGCAGCACAGCAGTGGAGTACCCACATGGGCACCATAGCTCGGGTCTCCAGTCCAGCTTGGAGTCGGCCTTCCACCTGTCCCCTGCATCAGCTCAAGACTTTGTCTTTCGCTGTCAGTATGCGGTTGCATCAGAAAGGGAGAGAGAGGAGAGGTTCTTCTTCTACTTCTTCTCACGCCACTCCCCATATCCCCCCCCTCTGCTTGTATCAAGACTACCTTCCTCCCCCCGAACACGACGCATATGCATTGTATTCGAGTTTCAAAATTTGAAAAAAAATCAAATAGACGCATATGCGTTCTTTTCGAAATTTAGGGCTATTTGAATGGAATGCATATGCCCTGTATTCGAATAGAACACACCCTATGCGTTCTGTTCATTTATAACGCATATGCGTTATGTTCGAGGGACGAAGGTAGGTTATTATTTTGGGAGCATTTCTCCCAGGCTCGGGCTCGACATTTGGATTGGTGACTATTGTGGGACTTTGGAAAGAGACTATTATCATTCACCTGATACATGGACTTGTAATCTCTTCTTCTTCTTCTTCTTCTTCTTCTTCTTCTTCTCCTTCTTCTCCTTCTTCTTCTTCTCCTTCTTCTTCTTCTCCTTCTTCTTCTTCTTCTTCTTCTCCTTCTTCCCTTGGTACTTCTCCCTATGTGTGTGCTCACAAGGAGGGATCTTTCATCCATGTATGTGCCCCGCAGCATCTGGCATGAGTGATGATGTATGTGTGTGCTGAGTCCACAGTCTGATGAGTTAGTCTTTCGCTGCTTTGCATTATTATTTCTCCTCATTTTGGTGATGCTGCACTGATGCCCATGTACTCAATAGGCGTGCGACACTGTGCCTCTTCAGGCAGTCCTCCATGGATTCTGCGTTAAGTCCTAGTGAGCGATACCTGATGCTCAGGTGTTCAGGCTCTGGTGCTTTTCTGCTGCAGAATTTGGACCTGCCGAAAACTATTAGTTTGCTTGGGGATTCTCTGCATGGGTTAGTCCTTACTATTTTTCTTGATGAAATTAGGAATGTTGCAGTGCTAAAAGAAAAAAGAAAAAAGAAAAAAAAGGAATGCTGCAGTGCTTATCTCTTCCCAAATGTCATGGTTGCAGCTTTGCAGGATACACCTGGAATGGTTGTAGGCAGCAATGAGAATTCCCCTGTAATTCACATGTATTTGAAGAATTCGACTAACTCCTTCGGAGGAGACTTCATGGTTCTGCAGAAAATTGTTGAGAAGGTGAGAGGCCACGATTCCTCTCTTCCCGTACCAACTCCTTGTCGCCTTTAATTTGCGTTTTGAGGAAAACTTCTGGTCTTCATCCTGCTCAATGACTGTGCTGTCCCCACTGCCATTGAACACACTCAAGGCGGGTCCTAACAGCACTTGTTCTTGTTTTGAACATGTGCAGGATACCTGGCTGTGAGAGACTCCATTCACGACTGACCTGAACTCCCTTGATCAGCATGCATAAGAGTGACCGGACAGAAAGCAGAATTGACAAGGCAAATCACACCAACACAAGATCATACTCTGAATTAAGAAAGGGGATAATTTATTTTCGTTCCACCGAGTGGCCCAGGTAGACATAATGGACGTGCGTTCTATTCGGGGGAAGGCGCTGTCGTTTTACCGGTTGCTTAGAGAGAGAGAGAGAGAGAGAGAGAGAGAGAGAGAGAGAGAGAGAGAGAGAGAGAGAGAGAGAGAGAGAGAGAGAGAGAGAGAGAGAAGGGAAGCAGGATAGCGGAGTGGCACACGAGGAAGAGAAGGGGGGGGAGAGAGAGAGAGAGAGAGAGAGAGAGAGAGAGAGAGAGAGAGAGAGAGAGAGAGAGAGATTTTGCAGGAGTGGCGAGGAGGATTTCAGAGTTGGTGACGTGGCATAGGCAGAGACTTGGAATGAATTTGAAAGTTTGAATCACGGGAGCAAACTGCCCCGCTCAGGGGCCTGGGTATTGCACAAAGTTGCCCACCCAGTATGGAGGGCAAACCTGGTAAACCAGGGTACAGGCCCAGGCCCCAATGACAACGTCCAGAATGCAAATTTGCACACGGGCCTGACAGGGGAAAACACACAGAATTAGGCGCAAAACGGCATGCCGCTCTGCCCACATCTTTTAGGGGCATTTTGGCATATATCTCAACTTAATAGGGTTATTTCGCAAATTATCCCTTGAAAAAAAAAAAAAAAAAGCAACAACAGCAACAACAACAGACCCTTACGGTTCTGGCTCCTTTCCATTCCGGGGAGCATTAGTCCGGTTCCTATTCCACCGGCAAGTCAGAAGAGATTACAATAGTTACTCACCCACGCTTCTCCCCATTACCGTCTAGAGGCCCGAGTGGACCGCATTGATTATTTCCCTAGGGAAGGATATACCACCCCTCACCCCTGCCTAAGTTAGCCTGCATGACCTAACCTCTGAAACCGGTTACTACCATCTTCACCCGAATAGAACGCCCGGTCATTATAGCCGTATCTGGGGCAGTTTTGTGTCTAGATGCAGCGATAATGACCGGGCATTCTATTCGGGTGAAGACGGTAGACCCCGTCTTCTGCTACATCGGTCTGCGGTTTGGAACATACCAGTGTGAGGGTCTTGTCTAGCTTGCTCGTCTCAGCTACTTGGCTGTCAGATCTGCATTACGTACTGTATTTGCTAGTTTGGTCCATGAACTGCTGATCTTGCTTCAAACCTAAACCCTAGGGGTTCTTGAATTGAAAAAAAAAAAAAAAAGAAAAAAAAAAGGAAGGGATTCAGTGACGTCAAAAGTCTTAAATTCAGATCATACTCTGAATTTTCTTGATTATGAAAACCCAATTCTCGCCTTCACCAATCAGTACTAGGACGATATGATAGATAGTTCTGACTGCCGATCCTACTTGCTAAGCCTAGCCCTAGCTACTCATGCACCATGCTGCCATCGTGTCCCACTCCTGCCAATAACCGCTCGAGGAGTTTGCCATGCCGGACTCATGCACCATGCTGCCATCGTGTCCCACATGGTAGCTTTGGGCACCATGTGCCTCCCAAACACCTCCCCTCACCTACCCTATTGCCACCTGTACTGCACATGGTGCCCAAAGCTACAGCTCCCGGTTTCCTCCACAGCCACCACTGTTGTGGCGTTGTCGACTGCATGGCGCTGCTCGTAGGATCGGAAGTCATCCTACTTGAACGCACTCCCAGAGTGCGTTCACCTAATCTTGATGTGCAGCATAGCGGCAACCTGCGTCAAAATGATCCTCTTGACTGACCCGGCCTCGACTTAGGTACAGTGGCTGGGCCATTCTTCAGCTGGTAGGTTAGGTGCTGCCTTAACGGAATGACGAGATTCTTCACAGTCAGGGGCAGCTAGGCCCGCTGGGCCATTTGCCGGGAATCCCTATTAATCTTAGTCCTCCGGATTCTTAAATTCAGCTCACCGAGGATGGAACATTCTAAGATTTGGGTCAGTTGACAGGAAATGGAAGTTGTTATGAAATTGAACCTCAAAATATTGAATTGGCTGGCTAGTGGTTTAGTTCAATATTTTTAGTTTGGACTCTGGAGTCGTTGATACCACAAGTAGGATGGTGAGAGGCTATATGCCCATCGCCGAGAGTAGGCTGAAACCTGCCAGGCCCACGTGGAGTTGCTGGGTCCCTCTCCTGGGGCCTACTACCGAACCTGAAGCTCGTGTACCCAGCACCTTGGGCCTACTGGCCCTGCTCTGGCTGTTGTGCGGCTGAGCAGGCTTGCAGCCCCCAACTGAGGTACGCTTAATTCAGTTGTTCCTTTCCTGCAAGACCTCCCTGATATTTGGTGACCGCTTGGGGTGCAGACTTGAATCGGTTCCTCTCTTGTAAACCACCAGTGTTCACTTGTGTCCAGGTGGTGCCTGAACTGAACTCTGAATTGCAGCTGTATCCTAAATTGGCGCTCTCCCCTACGCTCCAGTTTAGGCACTGGCATGTAATGGTGTTTTGCAATGTGAATCAATAGGAAATTCAATGTGAACATCCACGGGAAGTGGTACCATGGATCTCTGTGAGGGAAAGTGATCACTCGCCGAGAAAAGTAGCAGCAGCTTGGATGCAAGAAAAAGTGGGTCAGGCCAAAGGTGAGGAGGTGCATCCGTCACATAGTTAGATGAGTTCTGGATCATAACCTACGATGTCTAAGAATGTCCGCGGTCGGTAGCAATGTGGCTGTAACTTCCATGGGCTGTTATCCTTCGGGGTGAACTCTGACAGCTTAACCGAAACTAGATTGCGAACCTGGAACATAGGTATTAGGTACCCATCTATGCGGATTTTCTTGTTCAATTCTATCCTGTTAAGGCGTCTTTGGTCTACTACCAGTGTCACCAGTTAAGTAAAACGGTAGTCCGCACTGCTGTCCCTGTCCTTGATCTCCCAGTCACGACACCACCTTTCTTCCTCTCCCAGTGCAGCTATGGCTGCCTCCACTCACTGGCCCATCGTGCACTCTAGCAGAGCTAGCGCTGGCAGTCAGTACCCCTGAATGCGCGGAATGCCACGACCTGACTAAGACCTCTACTAGCTCATTTGATTTCCTTGCGAGTTATTTGGGAAACAGTCCTTCATGTCACCCACCGGTCTCACCACACTTCATGCACTGTGCCCCGTAATATCTGTCATATCAGACATTCCTACACAGCCCTTCATTAACCCATCCAGGGAAGGGGTTATCGATGTACGGAAGGCTATAAGGACTGACGAAGACCTCTACTAGCTCATTTGATTTCCTTGCGAGTTATTTGGGCAAAAGTCCTTCATGTCACCCCCCGGTCTCACCACACTTCATGCACTTTGCCCCGTAATATCTGTCATACCAGACATTCCTACACAGCCCTTCATTAACCCATCCAGGGGAGGGGTTATCGATGTACGGAAGGCTATAAGGAAGTTGGCCCCAAGGAGCCCGTGAAGCCTTAGGAGTCCAAACCTGTCCACATATTTACAATAGCCCATTCCCATGTTACGTAAGTAATTCCCTCCTCGAGTCCTTATCAAGATAACAACGTTCCATGATCGCAACTCGTTATCGAGTTCATAGACTCTATCATCGCCTCAAGCTCATAGACTCTATCCACATCGGCTCCGTATCGAAGAGCAGCCTTGCCGCACGCAGTGATCTAGGCACAGTCCGTATCTAAGGGCAGCCTTGCCACACGCAGTGATCCGGGCTACGTATAAGGGTTTTGTAGGGAACGCAGTGAACAAGATACTACCTCACTGGATGCAATACAATATCACTGACAATCAAAGTGTGCAGTAATCTGTGTGCTTCAGTCACGTACCCAAAGTGAATGGACACAACTGCCATGGGCCGTCAGAGCTGCTAGGTATGGTGGTCACAAGTCAGCCCTAGCGCTGATGCCGATGACTTCGGCCGGAAGTGCGACAACGCTTAGTGATGCACGCACTGCCACCACAGTGGGTACTCTCGTGTGAGAGAATTTGAACTTGGGGAACGTGTTTTGGAATTCAGAATGTCACTTTTTCCTCTCATGTTCGTTCATTTTTCAGTTCTTTGGGAGATTTGAAATGCCTGATCGTGAATGGATTACACCTCTGTCATCGTATGTGTGGACCCCGTGGAATCTCATTGATATTGCAGCACGGCAAATAATTTTTTTCTTCTTATAATGGATGTCCCAGACCGATCTGACTAGCACTTGCCGAAATCTCTCCACTTGTCAAATGGTGGGTGCCTGTGGGTGAGTGGGTGGGTGGGTGTTGCGGGGGGGGGGGGGGGGGGGGGGGGGGGGGGGGGGGGGGAGGGTAGTTGGGGGGTGCTGGTTTGGGAGCAGATGCTCGATGACAAGTCTGTGCTGCTCACATGTACAAAAAGGATGCCTCTGGACAGAGTGCGCTGGCCTGCAAGTATCCGGATTGCAGTCTCTGCAGGTCACAATGATAAGGATCTCCTTGCTGCAGCTGAGTCCCTGAAGGTTGTCGCAGCAAGCGTCCTGGAGTCGTGATGCCAAGCTTCGTGGATGTAGGGTCCGGCAGGATATGATTGAGATGGTTCGTCTGACGCGGCTACGACCTGCACTGTGGCTTCGAGGCATGGAAATGTTATCAAAGGAGAGCATTCTGACCAACTGCATGCTGGAATCATGGAAGAGGTTAATACATTGCCATGTAGTGACCACATGTGTTCGCTGATTTCAACACGAATGGGACAGGACATTTGAGGAGTTGGGCTCCATTGCTGATTGGTCTGTGATTGATCCCCCTCTGACCGTTTCAAGGTTTCCTTCTGGACATGCAGACTGTAATTGCAAGGAGGTAAGTGCAAGAGAGTGAGCAAGTGAGTGCAAACGGGGTACAAATATGGAGAGGGATGGAGTTGGAATTCACGCTTTATCCCGTCGCATGTCACGGATGGAGAACAAATGAACTGAAGAGGGTCTGAATTTCTGACGGGTAGTGTGTATGCTCATGTCAGGGATAGGAAGGATGGAGAATAAATGAATTGAGAGGGTCTGAATCTCTGACGGGTAGTGTGTATGCTCATGTCAGGGATAGGAAGTACGATACTATGACCTGCTTTATCCCATCGCATCGCTGGGAGGATTGTGTGATGCTTTGTTGCATCCTATTGGATGAGAGGATATTAATTAGCTCATATTATACTTTTTTGTATAGGTCGACGTGTAGTGTATTCTTCGTGCCTTACTGAGGCCGAAGGCGCGTTAGGGATTGCCTGTATCGCTCTGATGTTATATGCACCACCAGAACCATTCCTAAGAGTCCAAGCCATTACTCGCTGACTTAGAGAATCATGTCGTTCAGCCACTACATAATCGAGTTCGTTATCCTCATTCGTTCCGACTTTTATCTCCCGAGCCGGCCTCGGAGGTGCGAGCCTCTTGTTGCTCGGTTTGACCAAGTGCTTTTCCATGCGCATTTCGGCAACGAGATCACTACTCGAGCTGAGATTCGTCGTTGCAACGTTTTGCTCTCTCTTTTTGTCGTTTGTGGTGTGGTGTTCAGATACCGAGTACACAGCAGGTGGGTTTGGATGGAAAGAGAACTTGCAACTGCTCGGAACCAGGTCACGAGCTCCATTCCGAACCCGCCCAAATTGCGGCCCAAACAGGATTTGAGCTGAGGCGCACCTATCAGGGCATACTCGCACTCGGACTTTTCTACGAAGCTCTGTGAATATGATTGCTGTCAGATTCATCCAGGTTTGATGTGTTTTGGATAGTGTGCTGGTGTGAGTAATACTGAGTATGCCCTCAGTGCCCCTCGCTCTTGGAAGGGCATACCAGTTTTTTGTTTCCTTTGTTTTGTGTGTTTTCTTTGGAAGGATGACGGCCTTGAGATATCGTCATTGAATCGACTGGCCCCACACAGTTCACAAAGATTTGATGTTGTTCATCCGATGGCAGCCGGATTTGAACTGAGCGGGGCAACGGTTCGTGCAGTTTCTCTTTGTCGTTCTCCACATGGTGCTTAAATACAAGTACATAGCCCGTGTGTCTGGATGGATATGGGACTCGTCACTGGTAGTAAGCAGGTTGAGCTTGGGTCAAAACTCACCCACCCCAGAAGAGGGGGAAATGATATTTATAGGACTCGAGCTCAGGCCTGCCTACCAAAGTTAACGGGTGTACCTTTTTTTTTCCTAAACAATCGTTGCCTTCCCCCCCCCCCCCCCCTCCCTCTCTCTTCGAACTCAGGTCGTCTTCACCGCTGTCTGTGTGGCCTCAACATAACGAGCAATATGCCTCCTCCGGACCCTAGCAATTGCCCTTGTCGACAAGCATTTCCACGATGTACTCACATTGTTGACGCTCATGTGGTCACAGGGGACTACACTGTTATACAAGACATTTGTGGGCTCTCTTCTTTGAGGGCTCCAAGTACTCTGCCTCAATGCTGACACCACGGATGCGATGAAAGCATTGAGACTTAGTTTGGATGAGTATCCTGCCAAGTTTATAGCAATCATGAGATCAGCACACAACAACGACTTCAACAAGTCTATAATTGCTGACAGTCTCTCCGAGCAGCTCAGATGGCTTGCAGCAATTCTTTCACATGCCAACGGAACTTCTCTACGTCACAGCGTACCAGGCACACACTCAGGCTAGCTATCACATCCCTGCAGCAACTGCGGCAGCAATTTGCCACAGTAACTAATACAGTAGCTAGTCAATAACACATCACACGACATGGCAATCGGCTGCAAATGCTGGTATGTGTACAAGTTATCACAACATCGTCAAAGTCCTCCATGCAGTCGTGCATCTGAGTCTGTGGCCAGCATCCTCAAACGCCATGCACGCTGCAATCGACGCTGGGGCTATTGACACTCTGACACTCTCCCTTGTCTCTACTTTAAAGCACTAAAAGTATGCAAATTCCCTTGCTGGGGCTATCATCACTGCCAGGGCGTGCTGTTATAGACCAAGTCTTGCAATAACTAAACACCCTTGCTTTGGATCAGTCCGCGTGCCGTGTGTCCATAGAGAAGGAATAATGACCGAGGATCCCGACGAAAATTGCTCAATGTCGCTCTGCGATGACCCACCTGAGATTCAGCTAGCATGTGATTCGCATGCCTTATGTCGTGAGGATTGTAAAGGCATAAAGCATGCGAATGCATGGAGTTTCTGTTTTCATACGTATGATGACAGTCAACATTGCACTCGTGTACAACACCATCATGACACATCATGTCGGATTTGTAGACAGGGCCTGGGACGGCAATGGCTATACAATTGTAGTTGGCATGGCTCTACATTCCTAGCACGTAGGAGTCACATAGCCTGTGACATCTATCTACACCGTGCCATGTGATCCAGCAACCGGAACTGCAACTGCGAGAATTGAATGTGGTGCTCCAACGGTGCACAACCGAACCGGTCCTGTCCAGTCTGTAGAGGTGGCCACTTACCATTATCGTCAATGGCGACTCCTCGACTCAAAATCTCGTGCAACCCAAACACTGACTGACCTGTCGTGCCATTCTAGAGAAGTCTGCACCAGCGGTGAGTATTGAGAACCTTGTGAAGTTCATCGTTCCTCTGTTCTGTTCTTTGTCAATCCACTTCCCACCTCTACCCTTCTCGCTCCCCTACCCCTCACTTGCTGTAGAACTCCACCTCCTACCCCTTTCCTTCCTTCCTACCCCTTTCCTTCCTCCCTCCTCTTGTGTACTAGGTAGTAAATGCATATGAAATTATGAATGAGCATCATTAAGAGAACAATGAACAGGAGTATACCTCCCGCTTTACTCTGCCTCCTTTCATAATGTGCAATTGTGCCGTTAAGGCAGATGTGGAGGTGGGCAGTTGGCGCTCAACCACAATCAACGTGGCCAGTCTTCTACGCGAGAGGCACAGTAAAAAGGGAGCTGCAAGAACCAATAAAAAGGGTACCCTGAAGAAGCCTAAGTAGACATAGCTGAGAAAGTGATATAACAGGTCTATTCGGCTCCATATTGTTTGCTAAAGGGGGAAAATTGTTTCGTTGTTGGATTGGCTTATCTAGTGTGCGCTTCATTGTCTACAATATAGGTAGAGCCGCTTCGATTTCGGATCTACTCATCTGGGTGGAATGTTGTCTGCCTAAAATCTACAATACACACAAAGTCCTACAAACAATCGTTTGCTTTTTTGTGGGGTTGTGTATAGTGAAATAGCAACACATGCACACACACAACACACACAGATTCCATGGCTGAGTGGGCGTAAAGGGTAGGTTTTGTGGCTGTGACGGATTAAATCTGATAGGACTGAAGGGCATCGCCGCCGACCAGGGAAACGCTGGAACACTGCCTACTGGCGTGCCCGATGCTTATCCAAATAAGGCAATGGAAGGATGCTGCCTTCCACTTGCTCACAGGGTTCCATTTCCCGTGGCACCTCGGCCTCCTACTGCTAGGCAAGAACCAACACTTGTTGGCGCAGTGGTCTCCCTTTGCAACCCACCTCTTCTCCTACGTGAGGTTGCAGGTCCTTATGTTAGCCTGGAGAGCCATATGTTCCTTTGAAAAATCAGGCCACCAATTTGGATTTCAACAAGCTCAACCGGCAATAGAAGAGGAAATCAGGTCCTGAATGCATGACGCCTGGAAAGCAATGAAACCGGACTGCTAAGAGGAGACTTGACTGTTAGACAAGCCATTCGTGATTCCTACTGCCAGATATTGCAGAACCACCACAAGACTCTTTTTCAACTGGGTGACGGGCTCAGGATCTCAAGGAAAGCATACAGGACCACGGAGCCCACCTAGGAAATGAGGCCCTTTCACAACTTTCAGGTCCCCCACCTTCAAACTAACTTAATGCTCATAACAGACCATGCACCACCCTCCCGTTAGCCTATCAGCCACTCCCCCGGTGTCGGAGGGAGCGGTGTCTCGGCCTTCCTCCGTGTACCGAGTCCCTGCTTGGTATAGTCCCTCACGTCGGTGCCTCGGCCTGTAGACGTGTCTTGGGTTTTTGTTGCCGTTAGTGCCCAAGCTGTGCTTCGGCTTGGACCAGTCCTGGTGGCTGTGCCCTTGACAAAAGGGGGGTGCGCCACACAACTTTCATTGGTCCATGCAGGCTCGGCACCCTGCTATACAGCAGAGCACGACTGGCCTGAAGCCGTGGTAGCCTCCGGGTCCGCCTTGGGACGCGAAAGTGAAGGGACAAACGCAGTCTTTTCTATTGCGCGCCGGGTGTCCCTCTACTAGGTTATGGGTAAGATGCATGGAGCAGAAATCATTGTCAGGAAAATTTCTGCGGCTGAACCGTCAAACTTAATTTCTGCGGCTGAACCGTCAAAATTAATGCGGCTGAAGAAAAATCCGGTGACAGTCCTAATAGAAAAGGAGTATGATGAAGCACTGGAAAAGGAGAGCGGAATCATAAAAGCATTGAGAGAATCAACAAAATAGGGGAATAGAGTTACGAAAGAGAATGAAAAGATAGACTCGGATAAATTTATCCTGCCTAAGGAGAAAGAATGTATCTCCAGGAAGTGTCATAAATTCTCTGGTGTTTTCTCCTTTAATGACGAAGAGAGAGGGTGATTGGACGTGGACATGATCAAGATAATCAATATTTGGACAGTTGATCATGTTCTATGGAATGATAGGTCAACCAAGTATGCCCTAAAGGAAGAAGCGGAAGTAGTAAAGTACCTTGACAAGAAGATTGCATCTAATGTTGTTGAACTTGCTGATGGATCGTATGCTAACCACTGGTTTTGTTTCTATAAACAAAGGGGCGGGCGAAGATGGATACAAAATCTTCAGAAGCTCAATTCTGTGACAGTACGTGATGGAGGTAGTTCTCCCAATGCTGATCTCCTCTCTAAATCCTTTGCTGCTCGATGTATTTATTCTTTAGTTGATCTGTATTCTGGCTATGGTCAGTTCCCGATTGATCCTACTAACCGACCAATGACTGTCATGCACACGCCAAAAGGACTTGTTCAAATGTGTGTGGTACCTCAGGGTTGGACTAACGGTTTGGCGGTGGTTCAAAGGGATATGATCAAAGTCATGCAAGATATTTCTCCTGAAATAACCAGCCCTTACATTGATGACAATCCCTTAAAAGGACCTCTGGTGAGAATGAGACTTTGGTCGCAGGGGGAGTCAGAAAGTTTGTCTGGGAACATGCTGAAGGGGTAAAGATGGTTCGAGAGAGACTTTAGAAGTATAATATGACTGCCAGTGGACCAAAGTTCGTTCTCTTTCAACCAGAGGTGATAATTTTGGGTTTCTGATGTTTCTCCAAGGGTAGGAGTCAAGATTCCAAGAAGATAGATAAAATTTAAAACTGACCTCTGCCTCTCTAAAGAGTGACAGACGTCAGGAGCTTCTTGGGAGTCTGTGGATTCTTGAGGATTTTTATTTCTCACTTTGGTACCCTTGCAGAGCCCTGAGGGAAATGGTAAGACAAGGGACTAACTTAGCATGGAATGATAAAAGGCAAGCTGCAGCAGAAACATTACAGGAAAAGTTAAAAGATGGTGGTGTAGTGCTGGGAGTGTCATTTTATGATGATGAAGAGGCAAAACGTTTCATCATTGAGGCGGATGGACGACCAGTTGCTCTAGGTGGAGTGCTTATTCAAAAAGATGAAAATGAGAGAGATAGACCTTCGAGATTTGAGAGCAGGACTCTCAATTCAACAAAAAGAGACTACACTCAATTCATGAAAGAGCTACTGTCAATCATTCATAGCCTCAGGTGCTTTAGAGACTACGTACTAGGAAGAAGATTCATCCTGAGGATTGCTGAGGTAACCTACTCCAAAACTGTCAAACTGTACTTTTGGTCAGGCATGAGAGACATTATTTAAAAATACTGTAAATCATGTGTCTTATGTCAAAAGAG